ATCAATTTAATTATTTTTAAGTGTACAGTTCAATAAGTAGTGTTAAGTATATTCACACTGCTGGGCAACAGATCTCTAGAGCTTTTTCATATTGCAAAACTGAAAGTCTACATCCGTTAAACACTCATTCTCCCTCCATCCTCTTCCCAGCTCTTGGCAACCACCTTTCTACATTAAAGCTTTCTGCTTTTTGGATAGAAAACTAATTTTTAAATAGTGCCACGACCCAAAGATAACCACTGTTAACCATTTTCCCAACAATTAACATTTTGAAACGTATCTTTTTCTAGGCGTACATCCATAGGCTTTATGTATCACAATGTTCAATGAGTCCCATTTTACATGGTATTATGAACATTTTCCTACAACTATAAAATTTTTATATACTTGTTTAAAAAAATGTTATTTTTTATTGAGTTTTAGAGGGAGAGAAAGAAACATCAATGTGAGGCTGAAACATTGATCGGCTGCCTCTTGCACGCCCCCTACCAGGGATCAAGCCTGTAACCCAAGCATGTGCCCTGACCGGGAATTGAACCAGCAACCCTTCAGTGCACAGGATGACGCCCAACCAATTGAGCCACACTGGCCAAGGCTAAACTTATTTTTTAATGATTGCCTGGGCTCTTCATGTCTAGAGATCTAATTCTTACACCCTTCCTTTACCCATGCAGAGCGGCATAACAGAGCATACTCACTGGACAACTATCCCATACCAAGCACTATTTGACACACTCTAGCTGAATCAGCTCAGAATCCTCAAATCCGTTCTAGGAGTCGGGCCTGGGCTCTGCCCACTTTACAGGTGAACATGAGTCACACAGGTAATGAGTGGTGAATTGGAGTTCCAGATCTCACTACACAAGTCTGCCTCTCTTTAGAAGACAATGTAAGTTGAAAAGTAGAGTCCTTTCTTCAATAAATAGGAAAAAATAAATAAATAGAAAACATGAAGAGACAGGCAGCTGGTGATAACTTTAAGAAAATACTGAATTAACTATGTGGATTAAGCATGGACTATTCACCTGCTTTTTACTGCTTATTTCCTTAATAGTTACTTTGTGCATTCTTGTCCTAAACCATTATCAATGATCATTCATCAGTTGGGTACTGAGGTTTTAATTCCCCTAGTGGACCGTAATTTCCCTGAGAAAGTACGAGGGGGCATCACTTATCCTGTACTTCTCCACAGCCTCTGGCATGGAGCCTTATATGAGCCATGTTCAATGCTTGCTTGCCAGTTGACAATGGATAGTACATAAATTAGAGGGAAAGAAATGGTAGGAATGGCAGATGAAGGAAACCAAAGCCTTTGCATAGTTAGGGAGGGTGGGGTAAGGAATTTAGGAGGGATTAGGAGGCTAGATTGGACTTTGATCACTCATAATGCCATCTTAATTCATAGCGAGAGCTTTGTACTTTGTCCCCACATGTAATTTTTAAAAAATCAAATGAAAAAAACACACAACTGCCCTAACTGGTTTGGCTCAGTGGATAGAGCGTCGGTCTGCGGACTGAAGGGTCCCAGGTTCAATTCTGGTCAAGGGCATGTACCTTGGTTGCGGGCACATCCCCAGTGGGGGGTGTGCAGAAGGCAGCTGATGGATGTTTCTCTCTCATCGATGTTTCTAACTCTCTATCCCTCTCCCTTCCTCTCTGTAAAAAACCAATAAAATATATTTAAAAAAAAGAAAAACAAACAAATAACTTATATCTGTAAGCTGGATAGAGAAAAGGCTGTCAGAACAGAGAGGTGAACCTGGTTGAGCTTTAAATTTTTTAACTAAACTTTTTATTTTAGAATAGTTTTAGATCTACAGGAAAGTTGCAAAAGGAGTACAAAGTTTTTCCCTATTTTTCACATCTATGTTACTATGATACATTTTTAGTCACACTAAGAAATAAACCTTGGTCCATTAATATTAACTAAATTCCACATTTTATTTGGACCTCACTAGTTTTTCTACTAATATCCTTTTTTTTCTGTCTCCTGAAACTAATCTGATCTTAGACAGTTTCCTCTGACCTATGACAGTTTCTCAGACTTTCCTTATTTTTCATGACCTTGGCAGTTGCAATGCAGAAGGTCCCTCCATTTGCGTTCATCTGATGTTTTTCTCCTGGTTAGAAGGGAGGACCAGTGGAGCTTTAATGTAATGGCCATTCACTTCATATCAGAGCTCTAACGGTTAAAAAGGACATAAAACTTTCATCTATTTGCTGATTGAAATAACTGCTGGCATGAAGTCTGGCAAATAACACCATCTTGTTTGTTTTGTGCTTTACATAACCATTGAAATCATGCCCTATTAACGCAGTCATTTTTCTTTGGTTGGAACTCGGTGTTCCTTCATTTGTGGATAGCTGAAATCTCAGTCCCACATTCATCGAGAACGAGTGTCATTTGTACTTACTGAGGTAGCCACCAAACAATAAGCCTAGATTCTTGGGTAGTAGTTCTGTGTTTTGCCATTCTGATGTCCAGGATAATCGAGAGTCTAAACCAGCCGTGGGCAAACTACGGCCCTCGGGCCGGATCCGGCCCGTTTGAAATGAATAAAACTAAAAAAAAAAAAAAGACCATACCCTTTTATGTAATGATGTTTACTTTGAATTTATATTAGTTCACACAAACACTCCATCCATGCTTTTGTTCCGGCCCTCCGGTCCAGTTTAAGAACCCATTGTGGCCCTCGAGTCAAAAAGTTTGCCCACCACTAGTAAACCATGCTCCAATCCCTCAGCCTATCTCTATCTCAGAAGTTCTCATTATTTGTGTAATAATATAGGTTGACTGTGTTTTAAAAAACTGAGATATAATACATATGCCATAAAATTCATCTTTTCCAAATGTACCATTCACTGGTTTTTTTGTACGTTCACAAAGTTGTAGAATCATCACCACTATCTAACTCCACAACATTGTCATCACTCCAAAAAGAAGCCCTATACCTATTAGCCAGCACTTCCCACTCCCCACCACTGCACCTTGCCCCTGGCACCACTAATTTAATTTTTACCCCGATGGATATTCTGGATATTTCCTCTGAATGAAATAGTACACTATGTGGTCTTTTGTGTCTGACTTCTTTCACTTAGCATACATCCTCAAGTTTCATCCATGTCATAGCATGTATCAGCACTTCATTCCTTGTATGGTTGAATAATATTCCATTGTATAAATATAGCACATTTTGTTCATCCATTCACCAGCTGAAAGACATTAAGGCTATTCCTTAGTTGATTGTGCTGTGCTTTTTTTATGCTCACCCTAGGATATGTGTATTGATTTGACAGAGAGAGAGAGAGAGATCGGTTGGCTCCCATACCCACTCTGACCAGGGATCAAACCCACAATCTAGGTATTTGCTCTGAATAGCAATGAAATCCACAACATTTTGGTGTATGGGACAGTGCTCCAACCAACTGAGCTACCCAGCCAGGGCAGTTGATTGTGTTTTGATAGCTGCTTAATACTTGCTAACTGACTCAGCTCCTGGAATCATACCTAGCCTTCCTAATTCTTAATCCCCATCCATATATTATCTCCAACAAAATATATCCAAACAGTGGCTATTGCTGAAAACAACACATAAAACAAAATCACACCAAAGACCAACTCTATAGAAATCATCGCTGATTTTTCTACCATATTCATTTACTAACGGATTCACATATAGTTACTGAGTACCTATGTGTTAAGCACTGTTTGAGGTTCTACAGTTTGAGGTTCAAGAAGATACAGAGCCTGCTCTCAGGGAACTGGAATCTAGTGACTCAGATAGGCATTAAGCAAATCATTACACAAGTAGATATGTAAACTGCTCTTAGGATAAGTGCGACAGAGGAGAAGTGCAGGAAGAACAGCCCAGGGTGAGGACAGATGTTGAAGGAGCCTTCCCTGAAGAAGTTGCATTTAAGTTGAGTTGTGAAGATAAGGATTTGTCCAGAAGAAGAGAGGGAGAGAGAGTCCAAGCTGTGAAAATACTTGTCCAGAAAAAGGGAGGAATAGAGAGTCCAAGTTGTGAAAATATTTGTCCAGAAGGGAGGGAGAGAGTCCAAGCCATGAACATATCATGCTGAAAGCCTTGATATGGGGTAGGGACTTACGAGGAAGTGGTGGGGCACTATGAATAAGAGGAAAATAGTAGACAATGAGGCTGCAGAAGGGAAGGGGGGTCTGGCCAGATAATGCTGATAGGTAAGGTGATCAGTAGCTGTAGCAGCATCTTCTTGCCAAAAGCAGTAGGCTTACTGTTTTCCAATGCACCACGGTATTTAGAAATCCTTCAAGCTGCTCAAAATCAGGCAATTTTCCTGCCAGTCCCATGAGTAGCAATTCTGGTCCTGAACCTCGTTCTTGCCCTCAGGTAACATATTCTAGCTATTTTCTTGTCCACTGGTCTTATCTTCCCTTTGCCTCTTCAGACCCGTTCTTTGCCCTTCCCCACCCTTCTCTGTGCCCCAGCAGGCTGATCCCCCATCAATGGGGTCCCTTGGCCATTGTGGGTCACTGGCAGGAGATTTGAAGTAGGGGGAGGGTGTGCACAGGTTGGGTAATTAATCCTTTGGCTCCCTTCCTGTTAGGTTGCATTTCTGAAGGCCACGGCTACTGTCAGGAGGCCATTCCACACAACTCTTCTTTCTAGGTTCTTGTCATTATTTCTTCCCCTTTCCCTTTCAGGCCTCAGTGGGGACAGCTCCCCTGTTGATTTCTTCACCCCCTACTCACACCCTAAGTCCCACAAATGGCTACAATACTCCCACTCCACATGCTCTTCAACAATGTGGCTTTGCCATTTCTCCATTGAGAGGTGGAGTCTAGCCCTAGCTGGTTTGGCTCAGTGGATAGAGTGTCAGCCTGTGGACAGAAGGGTCCCGGGTTCAATTCCAGTCAAGGACACATGCCTGAGTTGTCGGCTCGATCCCCAGTAGGGGGTGTGCAGGAGGCAGCCTATCAATGATTCTCTCTCATCATTGATGTTTCTATCTCTCTCTCCCTCTCCCTTCCTCTCTGAAATCAATAAAAATCTATGGGGGAAAAAAAGGTGGAGTCTATTTCTCCACCCTTATAAATCTGGGCACACTCTGTGACTCTGTTTTGACCAAGTTGAGGGAAATGTACCGTGTCAGTTCTGGATCTAGTTCTTAACTGGTCTACCAGCTTCTGCTTCCTGCTCTTGGGACCCTGAGCCTCCATGTAAGAATCCAGTTTATTCTGCTGGAGAAGGACCTAGGGAAGCGCAGAGGTACCAGGCAGGTGGGTGAGGAAGCCAGCTGGGGAGTTTAGCCCATCGGAGCCTTCAGAGTGCACCCTACCAAGATGACTATGACAACATGAGAAATTACAAGCAAGATCCACCCCACTATTCCCAGTCACCCCTCAGAACCACAAGAGATCCAAAATAAATTATCTCATCTCAGAACCCCTCCATTTCCTTCATTAAACCATCTTCAAATTGCCTAGTTTGTATGCACCATCTGTTTCCTGCTGGAGGACCACAACCAAAAGTGTCCGGCAGTAAAAATCCCACTCACCTGGATCACAGAACCCTGTGTGCGAAGGGGATTGGAATAATCCCGGAAAGCCATCAGTGTGAAGCCACCCTGTACGCATGGGTCTCTATCCTGTTTTGAACACAGCACTCAGTCACCTGTTTCAGCACTTTTCAAGAACAGATGTAGCACTTTTTGGGGGGCCAGGATGCCATCTTCCGGTAATTAACCAAAATGACCAACACAAGGGGAAAGAGGAGAGGCCCCTGCTATATGTTCTCCAGGCCTTTTAGGAAACATGGAGTTGTTCCTTTGGCCACATACGTGCGCATCTGCAAGAAAGGTGGTGATGTAGTCACCAAGGGAATGGCACTGTTCAAAAAGGAGTGCCCCCAAATGTTCCCCTGGCAAAACCGGAAGAGTCTACAAGGTCACCCAGCATGTGGTGGGCATTGTTGTGAACAAACAAGTTAAGGGCAAGATTCTTGCCAAGAGAATTAAAGCACATATGGAGCATATGAAGCGCTCTAAGAGCTGAGATAGCTTCCTAAACGTGTGAAGGAAATCATCAGAGAAAGAAGGAAGCCAAAGAGAAAGGTACCAGGGCTCACCTGAAGCAACTGCCCACTCCACCCAGAGAAGCACACTTTGTGAGAACCAATGGAAAGGAGCCTGAGATGCTGGAACCCATCCCCTGTGAATTCGTGGCACAATAAGTGTAAAGACATAAATAAAAGAGGAAGAAGAAGAAAGAAGAAAGAAGAAAGAAGAAAGAAGAAAGAAGAAAGAAGAAAGAAGAAAGAAGAAAGAAGAAGAAAGAAAGAAGAAAGAAGAAAGAAGAAAGAAGAAAGAAGAAAGAAGAAAGAAGAAAGAAGAAAGAAGAAAGAAGAAAGAAGAAGAAGAAGAAGAAGAAGAAGAAGAAGAAGGTATTCTGCTGCACAGTGAATCGTTCATATGCTCAAGAAAGCATCCGTTTTTTATTTTCCAAGCTGAGCAACTTGTTTTTTTGTAATTTCCTTGTCCTTCTTGGAAAAATGGAGCTCAGTCTCTCGTGAAGGTCTAACTAGTTCTGTGAATAAGAGGAGGATATATAGATATAGTGTACGTAGAGAGAGGGATTCCTTTCGCATCCAGTCTGATCTCTGAGCAGCCAACTAAAGGGATAGTTTTAATGATAAAGGGATAGTTTTAATGATAAAGGGATAGTTTTAATGATGACATGAATTACATAACCTTTCTCTCTTTTCCTGAGCTTTTGGGGGACTCCTGAGCTTATGAGACCCAAAAAAGCCTTCAGCTTTTTACTCAGGCCTACATTTTCCTCTGCAGCGAGATGTCTGAGCCACAAGATAGGACTTCCCATGCAGAAGAGCAGCTGCTTGTAGCACAGCACAAACTTAAGCACCCCCTGCCCTGTGCCTTACGGGGTCTTCCTTACAGACAAGGCAGGTGCTGAGCCTGGCTTCTGTGCTGTAGAAAGTCCCGGATAGATCTCCATGGCTCTGCCATTCTGAAGAATTCTCTCGGCCAAGAAGTATCAGATGTTCCAAAGGTTAAAGGGTTTGTTGCTGCCATCCCCCAATGAGGCCTCAAGGCCACCCCTTCAGCATGCTGCCTCGAAACAAGTGCCAGAGGTGATGTAACTCCACAGACTTTATCCAGGTTCACTGCTGGCATCTGTGGATGGGAGAGAACCATTCATGGGGCCAAACCACAGGGAACCACCCAAGCCTGGGAACATTGAGTTCTCTCAAGACCCTGCACAAAACAGTGATGAAACACAGCGGGACTGTCGTGTTTGAGAAGAGGACCACGGGATACACACCTCTCTCAGCTGGAGGACTGGCAGAGAGAATGAAAAAAAAAATGAGACAAGATAACAGAATTCAGGTTTGAACCAAGTCAACCCTGGAGAGGCGGGGCATAGTGCCTACTGATCACTTAAAGCTCTTCCACAGCAAGAGTTCTGCAACCAACTTCCATGAATACACTCATTGAACAAGTGTTTATGAGCCAGGCTCTGCTCCGAGTGCTGGACATACAGTAATGAGGGAATCAAACCAAGCCCCCACCTTCCTGGAACTGATGTTCCTTTTGGGGGTAGAAAAGCAATGAACAGAGAAACATATGGTAGGAGCCATCAATGTCGTAAAGAAACATGAAGCAGGGTGTGGGATTAGAAGTGTATGATCATCGGAATGCTGCCCCCTCCAACCACCACATAGTGACATTTAATGGGAGATAGGAATGAGGAGAGAGAATGAGTCCTGTGGATGGGGCCGGGGGCGACAAGCATTCTAGGCAGAGGGAACAGCAAGGTCAAAGGCCTTGAGGCAGGACTACACCTGGCATGTTCCAGGCAGAGCCAGGTGAGCGGGCTGCTGCGAGCAGAGCAGAGGTTGCCGGGACGGAGTAAGAGAGAAAGCGCTCCAGACTTGCTACTGAGAGGACTGAATAGGACTCCTGGCTTAACATGGGGCAATTTGTTTCCCAGCCCAGGCTGCCACCGACGAATGCCTTCGGACAGAAAGGGGTGGGAGCGCGCATCTGCATCAGAACTGACCCCCACTCAAAACTAAAACATCCCACAAAGCAATGTGCTGCTGGCCATGGGTCAGCAGGGTCACTCAACTCTGCTTTTGGGTGCAGACCAGAAGGACAAACAGACATGCAGATAAGGTGTAAGCAGCTGTTCTTCTGGTTGAGTCTGTACAGACTGGGGCTCTGGTGGGGAGTCCTCCGCAGCCACCCCCAGGAAGTGAGCCCACTCTTCAGGGGCTTTACACACACTCTGCCTCCTCTCACCCAAGGACCTGCAAATCCAGCCATTCCCTTGGCCCTCATCTGAGAGTCCTGCGGAGAGACGGTTTGAGGGAGCAATAATTTCAGAGGTTACAGCTATAGGACCTTACAGGTTTTATAGGAGAAATTAGAAAGCTATTAATTTATTAATTTATTTTAAAGGATCTCACTCTTGTTCTGGAAAAGGCAGCATTACAAGGATAGAAAACAGATCAGTGGTTTCCCAGGGGTTGGGGCTGGAAGAAGGGATGGTTCCGTGTGGGAATTTGGGAGGACGAAGGAATTGTTCCATATCTTGATTGTGATGCTGGTTATATGACAAAAGACTGAAGAATTGTACACCAAAAGAGTGCATTTTACTGTTTGGACATTGTATCTTAATTTTTAAAAAGGAAGAATAACAGGTTACTTCCAAAAAAAATCAAACCAAACCAAAGACATCTGTGCTGAGGTTACCACTGAATCTCAATCGAATATCTCATCCTCCAAAGTAATTCTGCAGAAACAGCTGGGATTTCACCCAGGAGCGGTCTCCCCAAAAAATCAAACCAAACCAAAGAAGGTTACCACTGAATCTCAATCGAATATCTCTCATCCTCCAAAGTGATTCTGCAGAAACAGCTGGGATTTCACCCAGGAGCGGTCTGTTGCTCATTTTGGGAAGGAATGTCCTTCGTGAAAACATATCACTATCAGGACACTGGTTTGGAGTGGTTTTGCCATTACGAAGAGTCTTGTGCGTGGGGTACATTCGCAAGGAGCATGGGACAGAACCGAATTAGAGGGCACAGAAAGGTTAAGGAACTTGCCCAAGATCACACAGCTACTAAATGGCAGAGTCAAAACTCAGGCCAAGGCATCTGCACTCTTATCCATCAGGCTATCTCATAACCCCTAGAACATCCTACCTTATGTTGATGAGACTGAAGGGGTAGTTAATAAAGCAACGAAAACCTTTTGTGACCAAAGGGACCCCCTGGTTAACTGGGCCATTTTGTTTTCTGCCCTACATTATCTCAAGTGGCAGAGAGAAGGCAGAGCCAACCTGCTCTGGTTGGCTTCTGTTCTGTTGACACTTATTGAGTGTCCTTGACATGACAAGCACGGTGGCAGATGCCTGGGATGGACAGATAAGGGACAGGCTGGTAAACCAATGATTGCCACTGTGCAGATCTGTAGGCGGTGCCGGCTAAGCCCAGAGGAGGAGAGGGAACTTTGTCGACCCTCGAGCTTAAACCTGAAGGAGTCGATTTGCCAAGTGAATGAGCAAAGGAAGACTGGACTGAACTGCCCTGCAAGCCTCCTGCCCTCCAGACCTGAGGCTGAGTAGATTCATGGCCTTCTGTTGACAACATGGTTGTCAGTCCCCTGGAACAAGAGATCAGCCCTGGCTCCCTATCTCTGCTAGAGCAAACATTGAGAAATGTCGGCCGCAATGACTTCAGTGTTGCACCTGATTGCGTATGCCACAGAATAGATCTATTCTCATTTCACCCAGGAGCGGTCTGTTGCTCATTTTAGGAAGGAATGTCCTTCATGAAAACATATCACTATCAGGACACTGGTTTGGAGTAGTTTTGCCATTACGACGAGTCTTGTGCATGGGGTACATTCGCAAGGAGCATGGGACAGAACCGAATTAGAGGGCACAGAAAGGTTAAGGAACTCGCCCAAGATCACACAGCTACTAAATGGCAGAGTCAAAACTCAGGCCAAGGCATCTGCACTCTTATCCATCAGGCTACCTCATAACCCCTAAAACATCCTACCTTATGTTGATGGGACTTAAGGGGTAGTTAATAAAGCAACGAAAATCTTTTGTGACCAAAGGGACCCCCTGGTTAACTGGGCCATTTTGTTTTCTGCCCTACATTATCTCAAGTGGCAGAGAGAAGGCAGAGCCAACCTGCTCTGGTTGGCTTCTGTTCTGTTGACACTTATTGAGTGTCCTTGACATGACAAGCACGGTGGCAGATGCCTGGGATGGACAGATAAGGGACAGGCTGGTAAACCAATGATTGCCACTGTGCAGATCTGTAGGCGGTGCCGGCTAAGCCCAGAGGAGGAGAGGGAACTTTGTCGACCCTCGAGCTTAAACTTGAAGGAGTCGATTTGCCAAGTGAATGAGCAAAGGAAGACTGGACTGAACTGCCCTGCAAGCCTCCTGCCCTCCAGACCTGAGGCTGAGTAGATTCATGGCCTTCTGTTGACAACATGGTTGTCAGTCCCCTGGAACAAGAGATCAGCCCTGGCTCCCTATCTCTGCTAGAGCAAACATTGAGAAATGTCGGCCGCAATGACTTCAGTGTTGCACCTGATTGCGTATGCCACAGAATAGATCTATTCTCCAACCCCCACCCTCCAACCCCGCTTCCCACCCCAAATGAGAATCAGGAGGCCAAGGCAGAGCTGAATCCTGGTAAATGGGAGTGGGAAATAACTAAGGACCATCCGCAGATACAGAGAGAGAGGGAAGAACCCAAAAAGAGTGGCTGGAGATTAAGCCTGCCAAGTTCCCTGCATACGTTGGAAAGGGCACCGGGCATGTGGAGATGGTGACGGAATATTGCCTGACATCAGCCCAATAATCAGTCACTACAAGGCCAGCGAATGCCAGCTGTTCTAGGGTCTCCCGGGAACCCTGTCTCTTTTCTTTAAAACAAACAAACAAACAAACAAAAAACAGCAAATAATAGTTATAACTATATACCCAGGTACTTATATCAGTTTTTTTCCCAAGAGATTTAATATATATGATCAATCTAGCAAAGTAAACAATACATTTGCTCATAAAACTTACTAATTTTAGCCCTAACCCAGTTTGGCTCTGTAGATAGAGTGTCGGCTTGCGGACTAAAGAGTCTCTCTCAGGTTCGATTCCAGTCAAGGGCACATGCCTGGGTTGGCGGCTTGATCGATGATTCTCTCTCATCATTGATGTTTCTCTCTCTCTCTCCCTCTCTCTTCCTCTCTAAAACCAAAAAATATATATTTTAAAAAACTTATTAATTTGTACAGCTCTATTGATTTCTCAACTATCACTAAGTTCCCACTTAGATGTCAGTGAGCCCTAACATTAAAATTATTAACTACAATGCTTCTGTGTCTTGTAAATATTTGACCAATGTATTCCTGGCTTGTGTTTTACCAAAGTATGAACTCTGGGAAAGTGTATGTATTTCTGTGTCTTTTCTTTTCTTTTTTCTTCTTCTTGTTCATAGAAACATTTCTTACATTGATACCCCGAGTGCTACATTACACTGGACATACAGGTTCATTGAAACAAAATCTCACTCTTATGTCCAGCAAACATTTGTGTGTCTTCTATTTGCAAGGTGTGCTGTCTTTACAGCGACCTGCACAGGAGCTGAATTCTTACACTAGTTTTGGGTTCCCTGCATTATCTTCCCGAAAGACCAACATATTTGTGCATTTCTGAGGGCAGGGGCCATGTTTGTTTAACTGACTTTACACAGTGCTAGTTCCACGCACAAGGGCATACATAAACAACCCAATGCAATCCAGAGGTGGGTGCTTATTTCCAAGAGGAGGTTAAAATATGGCACCTTTACACATCTCAGTTTTTTTTTGTTGTTTGTTTTTTTTTTGACACACACCAGAGTTTTATTTTCTGTGCTAATGCATGCATAATATAATACATTTCACCTTCCAGAGGTTTTTAAACATTCCAGTACCAATTATTTCTTCCCAAAGTAGTCTCTAATTATTTATGTATCTTGTTTCTTCATGCTTTTGAACAAATACACTCTACAAAAAAAAATCTCCTGCGGGATTCTTGATGAAATAGACAGCAATGAAGGTAAACCTCCATTTGTGGTTTTGCAAATCATTATGTATCCCTAATGCCTGGGCAGCAGATGAATTGAAGGTAAAATTTAGGTCACATTTAATTTAACCTGCATTGTGCTGGATGCCAGCCCTTACTTACCCTCAGCGAAGTTCTGGTCCGGAACTCCAGCGAAGTTCTGGCTAGGATCTGGTTAGGATCTGATCCACATCTCAGTTTTTTAAAACTCATAAAACAAAGGTGATTTACAAGTGCCAAATAAATCAGACCAAAAATACACCCCAGCTCAAGCGACAATTTGGGCAAGCACGTGTACTCTGATGTTTTTAGCACTGAGCGCCAGTTCTCGACTGGGTCTGATGTAGGCAGAGTGGGGAGAAGATTCCAGCACGGCAGTAGAGGTCCTCTTCCAACTGCCCTTCTGTGTGGATCTTTAAGTCATTCGATCAAGACTTTCCCCTCTAGACCTAACCGGTTTGGCTCAGTGGAGAGAGCGTCGGCCTGCGGACTGAAAGGTCCCAGGTTCGATTCCGGTCAAGGGCATATACCTTGGTTGCAGGCACATCCCCAGTAGGAGGTGTGCAGGAGGCAGCTGATTGATGTTTCTCTCTCATCGATGTTTCTAACTCTCTATCCCTCTCCCTTCTTCTCTGTAAAAAAAATCAATAAAATATATTTTTTAAAAAAAGACTTTCCCCTCTTTTAAATAAAAATAGGTTTTTTTCAAGCTTATATTTTCCCTCCTGGCAAAATATGGGAGGGTAAAGTGATACAAAAGAAAATAAAAACGACAGCTAACACTTACATAGAACTTACTATACATCAGTCCTAATTCTAGATGTTTTACATACCTGAAGTCATTCAATTCTTACAACCACCCTATGAGGTCAGTTCTATTACACTCATTTTCAATGTGGGGAAACTTCACTTCATTGAAGGAAACGTGGGTCCAGAAAGGTTAACTTTTCTCAAGTTCACAAGTCTACCAGGTGATGGATCTGGGGTCCAAACTGTGAGAAATGCTCACCTGTTCGAATTCAAATAATGCACTCAGAGACAGGAGTATGGCGAAAACGAGACTTATAACATGTTCTGGAGAGCGGGTGTTTGTCTGGTTGTTCAGGCACACCTGCGGCAGCAAACACAGCTTATTTATTCAGTTCCTCACAGGCTGAGTACTAGGGAGTCACCTGTCTCCTCCAACGTCACCTAGGTTTTGCTGTCTCCCATTGGGCCATTTAAAAAAAAATGGTGGGCAAAGGACAAGAGAAAATAAAAATGACAGCTAACACTTACATAGAACTTACTATACATCATATACATACTTACTATATATGTCCTCTTCTCCAAAGAGGACATACAGATGGCCAAGAGACATATGAAAAAATTCTCAAAGTCACTGATCATCAGAGAGATGCAAATTAAAACAACAATGAAGTATCACCTCACACCTATCAGAATGGCTACCATCAACAAATCAACAAATGACAAGTGCTGGCGAGGATGTGGAGAAAAGGGAACCCTAGTACACTGCTGGTGGGAATGCAGACTGGTGCAGCCATTTTGGAAAACAGTGTGGAGTTTCCTCAAAAAATTAAATATGGAACTGCCTCTTGACCCAGTGATCCCACTTCTAGAAATATATCCTAAGAAACCTGAAACACCAATCAGAAAGAATGTATGCACCCCTATGTTCATAGAAGCACAATTTACAGTAGCTAAGATCTGGAAACAGCCCAAGTGCCTATCAGTAGATAAGTGGATAAAAAAGCTGTGGTGCATTTATACCATGGAATACTCTGCAGCAATAAAAAAGAAGAATCTCTTACTCTTTGAGACAGCATCAGGCCCACAGACTTTCACAGTCAGCACTCTCTAGGGGCTCAATTAAAATGCAAGACACTGGGGGAGTAGGGGAGGCCAGGGGAATGTTAAGGGGGGGGGGAGGAGACATATGTAATACTTTCAACAATAAAGAATCATAAAAATAAATACATAAATAAATAAAATAATGTGCAAAACTACAATAAAATAAAATAAACATGAGCTGAGGCCTTTTCTAGTTGCCTCCACCTCCCCCTGTCTAGCTGAGGCAGTCGCCTCAGGGGTTTCTACCATGATGCCAGCCCACATCCACAGTTCTTTGTTCCTACATCCTCTTCCCTCCTCCCTACATTCTGTTTGCCCTGGGGAAATTCAGCAACCAATTCCATCAAAAGCAGACTATGCTGGAGATGGATCACAGGCCCATTTCCTACACAAAACCAGAGAGACTGGCTCCCAGACCTACCTTAATCACAAATATATAACCAGAAAGAAACTTCTCAAGGGTTTGCCAGTCACTTTTATCGCTATCATGAGTGCTTTTGACCAGGTACTTAGTAAGTGGTACAGTAACCCTCAAATTTCTTCAATTTCTTTTGCCATAGCAAAACCACAGACTGAAAAAGGAAACAGCAACAAAAATTCCAAATTATTTTTAATTTTAATTTTTTGATTTGAGAGAGAGAGAGATCAATTTGTTGTTACATTTATTTGCGCATTCATTGGTTGCTTCTTCTATGTGCCCTGACCGGGGATCAAACCCGAAACCTTAGTGCATTGGGATGATGCTCTAACCAACTGAGCTATCCAGCCAGGGCAAAAAAATCCAAAATATTTAAAACTTACTTTAAGTTATTGGATTGTTGGTGTATATGTAATGTGCATTTTGGTAACATGATAGCTGCGAATGGAAAATCCAGGAAGCTTGGGGACTTCTGATAATGCTTAAGCTATTTCTTTAGCTCGAGTTTATTTGTTCACCTACTGAAGGACATCTTGTTTGCTTCCAAGTTTTGGCAATGATGAATAACCATCAAGTAGGTTCTGATGTGGACATAAGTTTTCAACTTCTTTGGGGAGCGCTATTGCTGGATCCGATGGTAAGATGATGTTGACCTTGGAAGAAACTGCCCAACTGTCTTCCAAAGCAGTTATATCATTTTGCATTCCCACTGAGTCGGGTAGTTTTCCTGAGCAGGATGCAAGGGTGATTTCCTTTCCCAGGTTCTTGTCCAGATGGATTCGAAGAATGAAGCCACCGACAAAAGGTGGTAGACGAAAAGGGTGGAAATTTATTGGCAGCAAATACAGACTCCCAAGTAGGGTGGGGGTCTCAAGGGGATAACCCACCACGCTCTTTTTTGCTAAGGTTTATAAAGGCTGCAGTTCTTCGTCTCTTGATGCTCCCTTCTTATTGGTCACTATATCAGCTTCAAAGCCCAAAACCCACCTGGTGCGCCCCGCTCTCTCCCCCCCTTCAGTGGTAGAATTCTCTATCTCCTGTGAAAATCTGTTTTCCTCTGTCTCCCATTTGTCCGCATTTCTCTATCTTCTGTGAAAGATTGTTTCCTTTTTCTCCCCATACCCTGCGGCTTTTCCTTTTCTTCTGTAGATGGATGTCTTCCTCTCCCCTTATCCTGTGGCACCTTTCTTTTCCCTCTGTGAATGTATGCGTTTTGGCAGCTCCAAGCCCTCACCTATGCAGTCCTCCCCCCCGTGGACCCTCTTTTTTACTAAATCTCCCTAAACCTGCCTATTTTTCTGCTAAAACTCCTTTCACCACCATTGATGAATGAGATTCCTGTTTCTCCACATCCTCACCCGGCGGCGTAATTCAAGCCCTAACAAGGAGCAAACAGCAGTACTGGTGTGACAAAATAAAAAGAGGTCATGGAATTTGGGTTCCAGTCTTAGTCTGTTGACGATGTGTGGCTGATCCTGAGCAAACTGGGCCCGTTTCGAGTTCCTACAAATACCAAAGTTTCTCTCCTAGTCCTACTGTTCTCACAATAGCACTGCTATGAGACCTAAAACCAAGTTTTAAGTTAGATTTTGGGTTTTAAACAAGCCATCAACGCAAAAGAGAGAGCTTTTGAGAGAACTGTAGTCTGAAGAGGCCCAGCACAGAAGGTGCAGGGTCCCTGGGGCTGGCTTGTTAGAAGGGTTGTCCTTCACATATAGAGTCACAGGACCATTGTTGTTGGGAAACGATCATTCCCAA